GTACAAACTATTACTCAAAATTGTAGATATATGGTTTACATATGTCATTACATGTATAATCCATACAATAATGTCTAAGTATGTTTGGCCCTGTGTCATAACAGCGGTAATGGGATTTATAGTTACTTACAGAACTTTCTTACTAGAATGATTAATATTGAGGAAAGTAAGGTGGTTTTTAAGTTAAATAAATTATTTATCAATAGATCAGAGTGATTTGTAATAAAAGTGTGTATCATGAGATTGGTAAAGCATATTGTGCTAATTTCATATGCACGATATTCAGAAATACCCAATAATAGAAATCTATTTTGGTCAAAATTATCGTTTTATCAATGAGTTTAACCTATATAAGACAATCTAACTAAAAGATAGTATCGATAAGGTTATGAGCTCCAGATGTGGGAGCAGAAAGTTATCGATAAAATCCATATTATTGTGATCAATATTGCCATTTATACATCAAAAGCCATATCCTATTATTCAATTTACAAACTCTACATAACACAAAATGATGATACTAATTGTGTATTTGATTCATCTGAACTTATAAATAAATTGTATTAAATCTTGAAACAATTCATACTATTCAATTTTTTAAGATTGATATATTAATTAACTTTCCAATAATGTTATTTTTAGAAGAGGAAGAAAGACTGTCATGAATTCATAGTAGCATCTTGGAATTATTTATCTCATTGCAAGCTTTCCCTACTCTATCATTCAGTTGAGATGGTTGCTAAATTGTATAAGTGTGCTTTATATATAACATTGATAAATTTATTTGTTCTTTTTCTACTTCATCTATAATCATAAATTTTGTAAGAATTACTTAATACTTCTTTGATGATATTTAATTGTTTCATAATACGACATACTTTTTAGTCTATTGATTACTTGTGTTTCAAATTAGGCATTTAAATATTTGAAATTGGATTGGAAATGACAATTTTAAGTATATTTTGGAAAAATATCGCAATAAAATATATAGCTGAAAACAAAATCACCCTATTTACACAGTCTGTTTTGATGGTTTTTACATATTTGCTCATTAGATATCGAGTTAGACAAAATCCTCCTGAAGAGTTGCAACTGTCTGAAGAGCTTAAGGAGCAATTAATTAGGGAATATAAGCCTAAACCATTGATAGAAGAGGACTATGGCTGTAAGAACAGAACTATAAATTCAACTGCAGAAGCTAAAAACTCCCGGAAATTTCTATCTTTTGATGTTTTTAATTTAAATTCCATCTCGAACCATGGAATTCTGGAGGATACAATCAGGAAATATGGAATAGGAACCTGTGGGCCACGTGGATTTTACGGAACAATTGATCTGCACTTGGATTTGGAGAAAAAACTTGCAAAAATATTCAATAAGGATGATGCTATTATGTATTCTAATGGATTTTCTACTATAGAAAGTGTCATTTCAACATATTGCAAGCCTAAGCACACGGTATTCTACTCGAGCTACTGCAATGAGGCTATTTTACGTGGAGTTCTCCTGTCCAAAAGCTATCGGACTGAATTTACAGACCTGATAGATTTGGAAAATAGAATTGCATCCGAGAAATCAAGCTTTAAGATGGTGATCGTGGAAAAATTGTGTATGAAAACGGGAGAATATTTGGATTTAGAGAAGATAGTAGAGTATAAAGAAAAGTATGGCCTACGAATCATCATAGATGAAAGCTTTTCAATACCTTTTTTGTACCAAAATATCAATGGACTTAGTCATAATCTGAAAAGAAAAGCCAATGAGCGAAAACATTTATCCAATAAAGCCACACATCCACCCAAAAACCATCCAAAGGAATTTTTGATAAAAGATGCTCAGGATTCAAGTAAATCAGTGGGTGGTCAATCCAAAACTCCAATTCCGAGTATCAATCAAGGTGATAAAATATCAAAATTTATATATAAGGACATTTCTTTAGAAGCCTCATTCTACGAATCAGTTGATATTATAGTTGGCTTATTATGCTTAGGATATCCAAGCAATGGTGGGTTTGTTTGTGGTTCTAAACATTCAGTGGAATATCAAAGAATTAATTCTAACTCTTATGTCTTCAGTGCATCTGTTCCGGCATTTCTAACTCAGGCCAGTTTGCTATTTATAGACACAAATCTACCTTATGGCAAACTTAAAAAATTGATTGATTTTGCTTTCAAAAACATAAACAATATTGTTTCAGATCCATCTTCACCAATTTTACTAATTAAATCTGATAAATCAAAACAAGAGGACTTGGATAAACTAGGGATCTATACCAAGTACCAGGATGGTGTCATAAGAGTATGCTTGAATATTGAAAGTACAACAAAGGAAATCATGGAATTGGCTAAAGTGATAAATAAATGAAAGTCCAGAAAGAATTTTTAGTTAGTAGAATAGTTTATTACTCTTTAAGGATGGATTCATAAGTATTTCATTCAAAGTTGACACCATTTTTATATATAGCACGACTTAATCAACATATTTTTTGACTGGAAATCTAATGAAATCTATCACCCTCAATATTTCATCAACTCTTGCAGTTCGTATCCCTCTCATCCTTAAGATATTCACAAAAACTGTACAATCTGTAAAATTGTAGAATTCTAAAATACCCCTAAAGCATTGTTCAATAAGAAAATCGACTGAATTGCGTGGTTGTTTCGAATAGGTTTCTGAATTTTGTAATATGATTTCCGATTCGTTAGAAATGGCAAGCAAAAGATTTGGTAACAGCTCTTTTAAAGAAACATCCTCAGATTTTTCTGGATTGGATGACATTTTGGGGTTGAAAAATGGAAATTCCATATAAACATTTAATTCATTGTATTCCAGGCATCTCTCTATCAACCAGCATCGTCAATAACGATCCCCCTCCTGTGGAAATATGCATATAGTTGTCTGGAAATTCTTTTTCATTTATTTGATCACCTTTCAAACAGGTTTCTATAGCACAGTCTGCCGTTTCTCCACCACCAATCACCATTTTATGCTTTATTGTTTTTGGGCATTTTTGAAAAAATTCTTTCGTTCTGTTGTTTTCTCTGCCTTCAATCAATCCAAATGGCCCATTCATTACAACACTATCTGCCACATTCAAAATACTGCTTAAATGGCCTAGAGTCTTTTGGCCTATATCAATAACAGTGTCACCTGGCCCTATAGAGTCGAAGACTACGACTCGTTCTACCTTTCTTCCATTCTTATGATCACCAGAAGTTACTGTAAAATCATATGGGATTATTATTGAATGCTTCTTTGATAGATAGTTACTCTGAAATGTATGGCTGAATGTGATATCATCATAGGCTCGTATGGAGTCTGATTGTGTATTAGAATCAGTGATTAAATCTTCATTAGACCAATCAAAACACTTTGTTTGGCCTATCTCGTATCCAAGGTATTTCAAAAAGCTACATGCTATCAACCCACTCGTAAACACTGTACCTTTATACGATTGTATCAGCTTTATCTTATCCTTGCACTTTGCACCTCCTAAAAGTAGAATGTTTTTTTTATCTGCAAACTGTTGTTTCAATATGTCAATTTTGCCTAATTCTTCAAGCATTAGGTCTCCAAAACAGAATATGGGATGATTTGAACATTCTTTTATAAATGATTCTGGTCTAGTTGAATTTCTCCGCCATGGAATATCTCGATGTGCACAGCCAAATGCATCCAGTACGATATAGTCAAACTTATCTCCAAATTCTTGCAACTCAGAGTTTGTATAGAATCTTATGTTATCTGTAAAATAGATGTCGTTATGACAAGACTTATTCCCGTTAGTTAACATACCTGTGCTATTTACATCATCTATCGTAATCTTTTTCAAATTTGGAAAAAATGCTGACAAGTATTCAAACTGACAGGATAGATCATAAGCCTCCATATCTTGTTTATTTCCAGAAGGTCTACCATAATGACTGCATATTACCAATTCGACATTTTTGTACTTTAAAATATTTTTTATTGTTTTAATACTTTTTAGTATCTTCAGAATTGGTTTTTTGGTACATTTTGTGTTGTAATCGGCATGGAGTAGAATTGACTTGTTACTTAGGTCATAGCTGTGGATGGGCTTAATTGTCGAGCCTGCACCATCGTTACTCAGAGGGCTTATTCTGTCTTTAACTTTGCAGTGTTGTTCAGTTTTATTCATCGAATAAAATTATTAATGAAAATAAGTTTTAGAGGAGAATTAAAAAAACTATTGGACAGGTACAATGCCCCTTAATAATCATTTTGAAATGACAGCATATGCATAGACACATTTAGACAAACTACTCATTTGGACTGGCTGATGTTAGAAAATATATATGATCTCTACTGATCCATAATTATTATTGAAATTATATAGGTAATGGAATATACGAAGAGATCTATTCATTGAAAGTTTTGTAAATAAAATATATAGGAATTTTTCTTTCACTTCACTTTTTTACTCGCCCCTTCCCTCATGGATTTTGTACTCTCTTCGGTTAAAACTGCGAAGAATCCTGTTAAAATCAAGCCATTAAAGCTAAAGAAGCTGCTTACAAGTGACCATCCATATACACTACTAGCAAGGGATTCTCTCAAACCATATCAAAAGATTTGTGATGTAACTGGAATGGTTGGACCATACACACATCCTAAATCCCACATAAGATTCTATGATGTTGGTGTATATGAGTACATAGGCAATCTCGACTATTCGGAAGTGGAAAATTTCTATGAATTAAACATCTATACACGATAACAGAAGAGTTTTGTTTGTTATTTGTGATTATGAATAAATGGGATAGTTGATTACCCTAGAATTTTACCATTTTTATCAAGATATCTTTGGATAGGCATATTCAATACATGACAGATTTTAATATTTATGGATTCATTTGATCTCGAAAAGATGATATTTTATGAATATTTGTTTGCTAATTAACCATTTGTCTTAAATAAGTTTCTTTTTTAATTTCTTTTTCACCCATAAATGCCACATTCTGATTTTACTGATGACATTGATGGGTTAGAAGATTTTCAGGAGGATGCAATAATACATAAGGAAGAGAACTTTGTTCATAGAATTGTTCTCTTTAAGGACCTCCATCTCTGCGATAAGTTACAGGAAAATATTCGTGATGCAGCTTTTGAAAACCCTTCACCTGTTCAATCTATTGCCATTCCAAAGGTTCTTTTGGGGATGGATGTACTGTGCCAAGCCAAATCTGGCACAGGGAAAACAGCCGTATTTGTTTTGGGAACTTTGGAAGCATTTGTAAAAAATAAAACCAGGACACTAGTGATTGTTCACAATGTAGAAATGGTGGAGCAAATAAAGAGCGAATATAAGAGGTTTAGTAGGGGGATCGATGTGAAAATTGAAGATATATATAGTGATTGTGGAGTTTCCAGCGATATTTTAATCGGAACACCAGAAAGTATCGAAAAAGTCTTATCTGAACAAGATAGAGGTCGATTTTCATATGGAAGAAGTCATGAATCTACTGCCAATCATCCATTCAATGGGATACCTCAAGCATCTTTGGATTTTATTTTGTCCAACGATTTTTCAATGATTGTCGTGGACGAGTGTGATCTGATAATTGCAGATCTGAAATCACTGAAACATATTTTTCTCAATAAAACTATTTTAATGTTTACTGCAACTTTAACCAAGAGGTCTAAAAGTGAATGCCTAGCTCTTCTAAAGAATCCCTTTGAAATTTATGTTGATGATGATTCAAAATTGACCCTACATGGCTTGAAACAGTTTTACTTAGAAACAAAAGAGTCGGAGAAAATCCAGCATCTAAAGCATATTATCAGTAGAAAAATTGATCAGGATGCTGAAATTAGCAAAATGATCATATTCTGCAAGAGAGTTCAGAATGCCAAATTTATTGAGTCGCAGTTACCAAATTGCAGAGCAATCACTCCATACATGAGTATGAATGAAAGAATTTCTGTTTTAAACGGATTTAAAAATAAGGAGTTCTCTATCTTAAGCACAACAGATATTTTATCGAGAGGAATTGATATTCAGGACATTAATATTGTTATAAATTATGATATTCCCGAAACCCCACAAATTTATTTACATCGAGTCGGAAGAGCTGGACGATTTGAATCAGAAGGCTTGGCCATCAATTTTGTAAATGGTCAAATAGATACTATTAGACTAAACGAAATAATGGATCGGTATGAAATAGACATTCTAGAATATTCTGAATAAGATCTGGCTAAATCAAATGAGAAATATGCTTATTATTAAATATACTACATCTAGTTCAACCATTCAGATAATGTTTATGTGGTCTCGCTTTCTGAATCGATCTCATATTCTTTTCTATTTTTTAATATAGTTCTCTTTAATCTATTCTGTTTATTGAATTCCATGCAGATATATTTTTGTAAGTCACTAACTACACCCCTTAACGTTTCCAAATCTAAATCATTTTTTACAATATCAACAAACTCTTTGAAAAGATACTTAAAGTTATTGTCGTTGGAATTGTACTTGGAAAGTATGTTTCGTGCTTCTTTTTTGTAAAAAATGCTGGATTTGGATGGCTTTATTGAGAATCCCCTAAAACTTGATACTAACGAAGGAATCTTTTTCATAATATAAAAGGGCTAAAAATCAGAGAGATAATTTAGATACCATCTCCGGGGATCGAACCCGGGACCTCTCGCACCCTAAGCGAAAATCCTACCACTGGACTAAGACGGCATATATTGGGGTTGTTATTTGCTGAAATTAAATATTTAGTATACTGGTAAACTGGACCTTACACAAATTTTTTTGAAAAAACCGATCATCGACTTTCCTTTGATGCTTGTATATTCATTTGACAATAAAACTACCGTTATGGTAACAGTTACCTCTAAAATTGCCCGGATTTATAATACCAATCTAGGAAGTTTTTCAACTTTTTCGCCCTCATTATGAAATCTCAAATTACTTCAAATTTACACTTTCTAGTAGTTCTAGAATCAAATACCTTCATATTCTACGATAAAGTGAGCAATACATCCCAATTTGCAGTCACAACCAACCATATTGAAAAGAGATATCCAGCCTCAGAACAAATTGGGGAAGATGCCCAAAACCTATCAACAAATGTACTACATTTCGCCTTGGCTGATGAGTTTCTGTTCTTTTCAACAAATACATCTTTAGTTGCTTTTAGACTTTCTGATAAACGATTCATAAATGTTCAAACGAGTGATTTATGTGAATTCAATTCTCAAGACAAATGTGAGACTCCAGATTTCATCATCTTCAACGATATTCTACACTATTCTACTTCATATTTTATCCAGCCAACATTCCTTGGCATTTCCTCAATCTTTTCTCAGAATGGATTCTTATTTTTCTCCACAGATACCACAATCTATGAGTATATTTTCAACTCTATTCTGTTCAAACTGAACGAAACCATACAGCATAGTTTTCCGATTTCAAAAATTGTAGCAACTGGGAAGAATGTATATGTAACAGATTTCAGGAATAGGGTTACAGTATATACACTGAGGAGTAACAACGGAGACACAAGCAATAGGTCGAAATATCATCCTTTGCCAAAGTCATTCGATTTTATTTCCCCCAAAATATTTTATAACAAAATCCCCTTTTTAGTTGAAGGGCCTAAACTATTTGTAGGTTCTATCAGCGCTGATTCTACTGCTGTAATCAATCTTTTCTATGAAGCAGATGGAGAAGTAGTTGATATGCAGTTCAGTGAAAAGGGTGGGGTAGCAGGAATAAGTATTTTGCAGGATGGCTTTGTTACCATACAGTTGGTAGATCTTAACTCTAAAAAACTTATTAAAAATGTATATCCTGAAAGGCTGAGTTATGGAGATGTACAAAATAAACCAAGCTGCTATGTGGAATCTGCCTTTACATTCGTCAAAACTTCTTTAGTTTCTGTCCAAAATGGCCACATAAGCATAGTTGATGAATTCACGGAAGATAAACAATTTGGTGCCCTTCAAAATACCTATGCAATAGAGGAAGTTAAAAAAAGTGATACTGAGTTTGATGAGAAGTATGGGGTTGAGAAAACAGTGGAGGAGAAGATCAAAGACAGGATAAAGTATTCGGATAAAGAGAATGTAATCCAAGCCGACAAGGGTAAAGAAAAGCTTGAGAAATTAAAGATGGCAGAGCAAGAACGAAGAAGGTATTTGCAGAAGAAGCATGAAAAAATCATAAGTGCATATTCAAACTCAAACGGAAGTGGTATGAACAGAACCTGTGAGAGTAAGAGAACTTGTAATGATTCAGATGATTCGGAACTTATAATTAGGCATAATCGCCAAAACAGAGATGTTAGTGATTCAGATGACTTTGTGGTGGGAAAGAAGAGTGGATATGTAAGGAAACGTGTCCAAGATGATGAAAGTTCCTGTCCAAAGTTATCTGATCATAGAAAAAGTAGGTCCATTAATCCGAAGACAGCAGGCAAAGAGTATGAAAACAACTCCGTTTCAAGAAACTTTGGTATTATTCCAAGAAATCCAGGCACCTTCAATACCAAAGAAGCTAATCTGCTATTCTTTGGTCCTCAGGGATATATGCTTTCAATTGACGGTCAGGTTAGTAATATTATCTCTATCAAATACCATGATAATCAAGTGGAGCCGATTGAAATCAAGGATACTCAGTTTTGTACGTTAGGTTCTTTTTACAACAAGAACTATGTGGTATCAAACAAATCAGTAGTTACATGTGGTGTGAATGGCAAGATATACTCTCTAGATGAACCTGCAGAGTTACTAGGAATTAATAACAACTATATCTTTATCTTTCACCAAAATATCTTAAAAATATTTCCTCTTCCAGATGATAGAATCGATTCGATAAAAGAAAATGCTCAGGCTTTATACACATTGTTTATAGGTCCATTCTACACATATTCTATTGGGGAGAGTAAAGTTGGAATATTTACAAATAATAATTGCTTATTGATAACTCTAGGCGAAATATCTACTGGACAAGAAAAAAGTAAGATTGGATTTGATCAAAATGGATCGTCGAATGAATCTTTGTCTTTCAACAATAATTTTAGAGTAAAATATATTCCGTGTGGAGTTGTCGATTTCAGTACTTTTTATGAGGACGATCTGTATGTGCAAATGCAAGGAATGTTGTTTCTATTGAAAAATGATTTATTTGTTAAAGTTTCAGACTTAAAAGTCACACCACTTACCATTTACGATGGATTTGTTATTTCCTTGAAGGAAAATCATTCGATCCTGCCAAAGCCAGAAGTAGAGTATAGTTTGTTGAGAACTACAGAAACAAAACCCAAAACAGTTGATCAAAATGAAATCAAAACAAGTAAGTTTAAGTATGAATAAAATTAAGTTGATAAGAGGTATTGGCAGAGAATATTTTCAAATAGATTCAAAGGTTTGTTCAACATATCGTGAAAGAATATATTATGTATATAGCTGTCTGCTGAAGATATCACAATGGGTAGCTGCTGATTCTTTTGGACACTTATATCCTCTACAACCTACTTACTATTTTCAAATTTTTTGTAAAATTTTTTCTTTACAATTTTTTTCAGAACACCCCCATTTATGGGTATCACAAACTGCGGTAGACATAAGAGAAGTAAGACGGGTGCAAAGAGGAATATTATGCAAAAGAAGAGGAAGAATCAGATGGGCCGGCAGCCATCTTCCACAAAAATTGGAGAAGAACGTGTGAAAGATGTCAGGTGTCGGGGTGGAAACTTCAAAAAGCGTGCGCTCCGTTTGAACGAAGGCCAGTTTGAATTGTTATCCACGGGGTTTAAATCTACAGCCAAGATAGAGCAAGTTGTTTATCATCCTTCTCATAATGAGCTGATGAGAACAAATACACTCACAAAGAGCTCTGTTGTGAAGATTGCAGCAGAACCATTTGTAGAGGAGATCAAGAAAAATGCCGACAAATCAGATAAGGTTTTGGATATTATGGCCAGCCGTGGATTTGCTTATGCTATTATCACAAGTCGACCAGGACAGTGTGGAAGTGCAGATGGGTATATTTTACAAGGAGAAGAGTTAGATTTCTATCAAAATAAGTTAAAAAAAGGAAAAGTAGAGGCATAAATAAAGATGTTAACCCAACTAATTTTTAATACTTCTTGTATATTTTGACATTTCATATGTGTTTGTATTGAAATTTTTTCAAAAAATACTTTTTAATCCCATTATGAATGATGAATCCTTTCCAGAATTCGACTTCTCAATGATCGGTGGGTTTGACAAGAAGGCTTCCAATGATATTCCTCCTGGCCAAAAGAAGGAAAAAATACTGAATAATACTAATTTTCTAAAGTCCAAAGTGTCTGACTATGTTCAGCCCAACATATTGGCATATCCTCGATATAATACATCCATCAATTCTCAGGGCTTTAAGGAGGAATATAAAGACTCAAGAGGTGATCCTTCCGAGATATTAACAAATTCAGTAAAGGATATTTCCATTAGTCCAATTGTACAGCAGATTCATGAATATTTAGATGCAGATGCATTAGAACAAGATAGATTTATTAGAAAATTGGATGAGTTTGAGAGAAGATTAAATGAATTATAGAATAAATGCTAAACCATGATAATATTTAAGTAGGCTGATACCAAGCTAAAGTTAGTTTACTGATATATCCCACAAATGTTTGCATTAAAAGTCATTATTGATTTTCATTTTATTTATATGGGTACGACAGTAATTATCTCATCCTCAGTGACAATTTCTGAACTGAAGGAGAGCCCTTTTCTGCAGATGGGACAAGTACTTTCTCTTTCACACCAACTCTTTAGGCATTCTACGTGGAATACATGTGAACAGGACAGTCTTTTCCCCCTAAAAATATCATCTGTACAAATTACACAGTTAATCGCCGAGTCATTGGTATTGCTCATATTCTCATCATTTACATAATCTTCTTGATTTTCCAACTCCTTACACACTTTAATATAATTCATCAACGATATGTAGCCAATCTTCAACTTCCGTAAATCAATCATAATTAATTTAATAAAATTAATAGGTAGGCGAAACTTTGACAGGGATAGGGCGAATATGAAAATCGTTGCTATTCTTAAAATCAAAGCATTTATACTGATTAATGCTAGTATAATTGGTGGTGTAAGACTGTTATAAATTCCAGCGAAAAACCCAACTGGGTGGCCAGGATT